GTGTGTGTGTGTGTGTGTGTGTGTGTGTGTGTGTGTGTGAATCAGCAGCGTTGTCACGCGTTGTTGAATAAAAACATTGCAAATCACCACATGAGCACGAGTGGGTGTTCTCTGCACATTGTGAAGAGCAGGATATGTCCTTCGCACGGTACAAACAGGCCCTGCAGTTAATGAAGATAAACTTTCTCTAGTGTGAGCTGATTCTTTGTGGTACTGGGGCTGTGCATCGCTTGAATATGCCTCATTTCACATATGTCCTTTCACAAAACTCTATGTACTAACTGTACGTAAAATATAAAGACGTGTACATCATTAATAACTTGACTGAGAAGGTCTTTGGGAAAAGCAACCCCTATCTTCATACACCCCCCCCCCCCAACCTTTGTAAATCATGCCTTTTCATCATTTCTCAATCAGAGGTCGAAATCTGGCTTCTAATTGTCTGGTTTTCCTGGTCAGGTGGAGCCGACACTGTGATAGTTCTGGAGAGGAGGTGCATGTGTCAGAATGTGCAGGGGGAAGCTGGTGTTCTGTGGGTCTCCACCAGGGGGACCCCACGTGTCCACGGAAAGACAATTCAGTTCTGATCTGCTCTCATGCCCTTTTCTTCCCTGTATAAGACATTTGACAGCAGGAACATTTGGTGTGGTGTGTATTGTGCCTTAAAAAATCGGTTAATTCATATTCATTGTCAAATCTGTTGCATCATAAATTTTTCAATTGGCTATTCTTATTATTCAATTAATTGAATAATACCTTAAAAATTCTAAATGTTGTACTGTAATACTTCTGTCCTGAACGTCGCAGTGTTCGATCAATAAGCCAGGCTTATTGTGTAGGTCAGTGGAAAATAGCTTGCAATGCTGCAAGTCACCAGATGGGGGAACCAGACTGCATAACGAATTAGAATGTAAATATTAAAGCTTTCCCGTTTAATGGGGAAACTCTTAACCTGTATTTAAGTTCATTAATACAATTAATGATCCCTTTTTCTTTTTAATTGTGATTTTAAGTTATGTTTTTAAAATAAGTAGACATCACTTTTAAGGTGACATTCCACATTTTATTGGTCAAATTTATGGATAGTATTTGAGTTTTAAAGGAATAGCTTTGCACTCCTGCAGGGCAGGTCTACATGGAACCGTAAGTCTAATTTTCAAAGGCTCATCATTTTGGGGGGTGGGCTCAAACAAGGTACTTTATAATGTATATTTTATTTGCTGGGTTACTCTGATTTTGGCCTCAGGTTTATGTTTTATTTCCTCAGACCCACATGAAGTCCTCGGAACCGCTCTGGTCCCATACGGTCTCCCTGGTCCATATTCTCCTCTGTTCCCTTCCTTCCCTGTTACATGGTACCTACAAAGCCTGCGTTTCAGAAATCGATTTCTGTATCTGTTGTCAGTGTGTTAAACTTTTTGAATTCTCTCCGCCGGAATGTCTAGGCCTCTGTAAATCACAGCGTTTATATAAAAATGTACAGGAAAGGGTTTGTCCGTTGTTGTAAGTAATGCCTTGTATCTGCTTTTGGGTCTTCTGACTTCATTAAACCTTTATGTTAACCAAATTTCCTGCACCTAAGGAGGAAAAAAGTCCACTGGGGAACTTAATAAAATCAGCTTTGTCTTCCCCTTTTTCTCTTTAGTTCTTGACACTTAAACAGTGTTTCATGTCTATATATAAAACGTGTTGGTTTGCCCATATACTTTTGAGTAAACGCACTAGAGCACAGCCCAGCATCTTGTGTTAAAGGTGCAGTTTTACTGGCTACATTCTGTGTTTGGGGGTGGGGGGTCAGGGGTAGCCAAGAAAACATGTAAATATTTGTGTAAAAAATAAAATGTAAAAGTGTTTGGTTTTTTGTGGCTCTTAAGCTTTTTGTAAGCTTTTTATTTATCTCTCTGACCCGTTCTGAAGGTATAAAATGTAAATTCACTGTCTCCCCCCCCCATAATAAATAACTGTTATTTTACGTTTTCCTCATGCGATGCCTTTTTTCTTCCGCCTCTCCGATGCCAAACAGTTCACATGGTGTCGCAGTTAGAATGTTCTAGAAGTGAAACAGGCGGCTGGTTTTTCCACCCGCCTGGCTTAAAGTTAATGAAAGATTAACTGATTAGCCAACTACAAGCTGCCTGATTTCTGTTCTTGTCTGTGTTTCCTTCAGCTAATAAACTACCTGAAATGTCTCTCGCGCTGTGGAGAGTGTGAATCCCTAACCCTGTGCCTGCTGGGACAGACTCTAGGTTCCCCCACCTGCCCAGATCCGGATGCCACCAGATTTCACCCAATGGCTGACACCTACCTTTCTGTGTCCAGTGGTGTTTCTCTCTCCTCAGTGGAATGAAGACGTGAACATCATACAGAAGAACCTCCCTTCTCACCATAGCTTAAAAGCTTCTGTAAAAATCTGCTCTCTGCAGGACGGCTCTGCTGCCATTGTAAAGATAAATCAGTTCTGTGGGAACTTCAAGCAGAAAAGTCACGTGAATAAAATGCCTGACCTTTCCTGACCGACAATTTATTTTTTTTCTTTTCTCCTTGCTCCTGGCTTTGTTCAGGCACCTTCTCGTCGTAGTAAGTGGTATATTATGAAAGGCTACGTTACTCTCGAACCTGGCACTCATCAGCCATCTCGCCCAGCAGCTGGAGACCAGAATTGATTTGATCTGTGGGATTCGTGGAAAGTTCTGGGGATGAGGTAAGTCTATGTTTGTGTCAGTGTTTGTTTTCCTGTTCTCATCATCAGTGAGGGGCCGCGTCCTTCTGTGTGCATGTTACTGGGCTGCCACAGGAGAGATGGCAAGTGGATGCCCTTTTTACCTTCATTCTCAAGCTTAATTTTCCTCAGTCTTTGAGGTAAGGTGAGGTACTGTCAGCAAGGCTTTACACCTTCCTTTTCTTTCAGTGTTTTTCCTGAGGGTGGGAGGTGGGGGTGAGTATACAGGTCTGACAGGATCACGGAAGTTTCAATCACAAAAATGTGTTCTGAGGGCAGAATGAAAAATGGGTCCAACACATCTGATCGGGTGGTAACACCTCCTCTACAATATGATTGGTTATCTCTCTCAACCAATCACTTTACGTTCTGCCCTCAGAACATTGTTGTGTAAGTTAAACTCCCATAGACAGGTGATGGGGCCATTTTACCTTTGATTTCCTTTCCAACCCCACTGCCCGTGTCTTCGTCGTCCTTCATCACAATAGCACAGCCATGTCTGCCAGTCAGAATTGGACTTCTGCTTGAAAACCACTCACATTTAATTAGGCAGCCATTTAAATCGATGTTTCTTAGTGCTTAATGTGTTCAGCCAGTTTCTGTCCATATATCAATAATTCCATAAAGTACTTCATTGAGGGAAAGCAATTGTTTCTTTGGAGTGCAATTGTAGATCTTGTTAGATTTCTTTCTCCCCAAAAAGAAATGTATGTATATACTCTGAGTAAACATGGACTTGCTATAAAAGCCCCCCCCCCCCCCCCACACACACACACACACACACACACACAAACACTCCCAGAAACAGAGGCAGCCCCCTGACAATAGTGTGTTTGTGAAGCTGTACTCGCTGAAGCCCCTTAAATCCTCTTCCCTAGTTCCAAGCCCAAAGACCTTCTTTTCAGATGCTAATGCCTTCAAGAGCTCAATCGACGTGCCGATTCAGAGTATCGGCCCGAGCACACTTCCTGTCCCCTCCCCCCCCCCACCCACCCCCAAATATCTCAATCCAGAGCTGATTCAAATGCTCGCAGCTAGTAGGAATGAGAACTTTGAGGGTCTACCAATGACCATCATCTCTGGTCTACGGTCCACTGGTTATTTCACTACCTGTACTCATGTGCTTTACCATGCCCTGCCCCGAAGTCTGTCAAAGCCTCACCATTTTCCACTCCCAGTCAATTCTATTCTAGTTAGCCAGTTGTGAATGCTATCTGTGTACAACCCAGCCCCCAGCAGGAAACTGGCCATCCAGCTGCACCTACTTGTGACATTGACATGTCATTTTATGTGGGCGACTTCCCCCCCCAGTTTTCTTCCAGTCTGAATGATAATGATCCCTTTGCTTAAATCGCAACACTATGTCTGCATTGAGACCAGGCAAATAAAAGTGCTCTGAAAATCTGTTGCAGCAGTGCATTCTGGGTGTTTCAAATGTCCAGAACAGAATAGGTAATACACATAACCATGATGCTTTTCAAGTGTCCCGATTATGAATTGACTCATCGGTTATCTCACAGATGCACTCGGCCCAAAATGCTAGCTTAATTAAACTGCTTATTACTGAACGGCCAAAGACCACTTTTTCTGTTGTGTTTGTATTAATGGGCAAAATTAATAAGTAATCCATCCTTGATATTTTTAAGATGGTTTTCAGCTGACTTCCTGTTTGCTGATCTTTAAAAATGCAATTTACTGGCGTGGTGCCATCAATCATTGCGTAAACATTAGTATAGTGCACACAAGACCTATTTTTCAAATGGGATTTACATATCAAATGATATGCAGGTAATTTAAAAATAGAAAAACAGCTCTTTATTTGCAAGGCTTTAAATTTCTGATGATTTACTGCATACTTCCCAGATGTCAGAGATCGATAAAGATTCCCAGCCCATCTTGCAGTCTAGCTGACTGATGCTTGGTCTCCGTAGCGACAGAAAAACTCCTCCTTGGAACCCGAGACCCAATCCAGGTTGATGCTGTGAAGCAGGTGGCCGTGTGAAGGGCACTGTTTGTGGCGATCCTGCCCCCTGCTGGTCCCAGGATGTAGGCTGAAATCCTGAGCAGTTTGCCATCTCTGTGTGACCCCTGCATAGTCTGCATGCAGGAGACTGACTCCTGCCATTTCCTGGGAAGGTTACCCGTGAATACAGGGCAGGACGGTGAGGATGGAAAGAACCAGGTTCCTAAGAAGACGTGAAGGTTGCAGCCGTTCCGGAAAGTTCCATCATAAAAGC